ACACTCCGCACAAACACGTGAACTGCGCACTTTTTTCTAGGCTAACATTAGATTGAGCTGCCATGTAAAGTTGCTTCTACATACATTTTTCAGATGATAAGCCATATTTGAGGTCGATGAATGTTAGGAGAGCATATGGATGTCCTGCCCGATGTACTATATTACCACATAGACCAGCCATTAACGATTTGTCCATAACGGACTGCGTGATTTCGCCACTTCATGTGGAATTTTGTTTTTCTGCGACTAATAAAATTTTGGTAATATGCATATAAACAGCCTTTTAATTAGCAGAGTAGAATAATCATTGCTGATAGTAAGACATGCAAGCATAAAAGAAAACCAAACTGGACGCGAGAACAGCTATAAAGGATATAATAAAAAATTTGGAGTTGAGATAACCTCCAAACCAAAGCCGGTACCTTTTTAAAAGCTCATTATCGTCAAATGTTTCTAAAATGTTTATATTCCGAGGTAGATTGCTGGCAACAGCCATTTTAGGATAGTTCAGATTTGGTCTTAGTGACTAAGGAGTCCTCTTCACTACTCCTAACGTTTCACAGATTTAGGAGCTAATTTTAGCGCTAAAACGCTTTGTGAAATACTCTTAGAACAAAAATTTAGGAGTCCTAAATTTAGGACTGACACGCCCATTATTTTTAAGATTTTCTCCTAAATCAGCGAGTTATGAGCTACTTTTAGCCTTAAGATGTTTTGTGAATACGGGCCAAGATTTGAGTTAAATGTGTATGTTAATGACTTCCAATCATTCGTAAATAGGGCTCATTCACAATTAGCATAATCCCCGCCTATGAATTACAGCTGTGCAAATTGCGTGTCCAGGAACGCAGTGGAATATTCTGGTCTACTTTCTCAGGTTTGACTCCAGTATATTGCATAAATGCTAAAAAGACTAATAGGCCATATGCCTAACCATAAATATTCAATAACGTGTGTCCACCAAAGTGTTTTTGGCCAGCTGAAAAAATGTCAGGCACTCTTCTTAAAACGGCAAGCTGGTGGTGTTTGAGAACGCTTTGGTAGCACAGCGTTTTTCCTTCGCTTTGATTGATATAATTTGGAATATCCACGGCAGTAACATTACTAAAAGTATCTCATTTTGAAGAATATTACTGAATATAAAAATGCAGTAACCAGCAATATTAACTTCTCTGTTGTTCAGTTGTTGTACAAGTAGGATGATTGGTCGGTGTAGTATTTGTCCCGCCCCTCCTCCATTGATTGGACGG